TTTCCCTCCATGGATTCCAAAGGCAGGGATTGAAGACTGGGCAGAGGTCACATGGGGGCAGATGGCAGGAACAGAAATTGCAAATGAAGAAATAGCATTTGGAAATTCTGTGAAGACATCTGGAACTCTCATCCTATACCTGACTCCAGCCCTAGGGATGGCTGAAAAGGAGTCCATGCTTTTAAGACAGTAGCCGCTCATCCTGAGAGGAGAGGAGGAGGAGACACGGGCTCTCCTGGGAGAAGAGGGACGCACTGGTCTCAGCCAGGAGCCCGGTTGTCTAGCACCGTCCCCTGCTCCCAGCACTTGGCTGGGCCAGCAGCCCCTCTGGGGATGCGGGGAGAGGAACATTTTACTGTACAGAATGGGATCATTGATAACATTTATAACTTTTAAATAACTCTCTTCATTTTAAATTCATGCATACTTGGACATAATCCCTACCCCTACCTGCCGTGTCTCCCTAAAGGAGGAGGAAATCAGGAAGCCCTTGGGCCAGAAGGACCTCAGAGGCTATCTGGCTGTTCCCAGGAGGGCAAAGCCCAGCAGCATCCTCAACCCAGAGCCAGGAGTTGAGGGCCCACCTTCTTGGCTTTCCAGGGAAATGCAGCACTGGTAAGGAGAAGCCCAGCTGTCCTAAATTAAATGGTCTGTTCGGGGGTGCTGAAGAGGTTTCATTTAAAAACAATAGGAAGTTTTCCAGTGTTAATCCATTTTTTGCAAATACCTCCTCCTACTCTCTGGTTTTCTAAGGGTGGGTGAAGGTTGTTTTAGATTATGTCATACATGTTTAGAAAATGCCAAAATAATAATAATGATTATAATAATGATAGGAAACCTTTGCATTTGTCAGGTGCCTCATAGACTTCAGAGCACTTCACAGCCTTTAATTTACTGGCCCTGAGAGAAAGGGTCAGAGTTATTACACCCATTTGACAAATGAGGAAACTGGTTCTAGAAGGAAAGGGAACTTGCCCAAAGTGAGCAGAATGCTGGTATCCTGACAAGCTTCCCTGAACCCTGCTGCCTCCAGATGGGCTAGGGTAGGACCACAGAGAGAAGGAAAAGGGAGGAGATCTAGGAATGACCTTTTTACTTTTGTTCATTCTATACCAGTAAGTAAAACTAACATCTAGTACCTCACAGTTCACAAAGCAGTTTCATATCCATCATCTGGTTTAACCCTGTGAAATAGATTATTCTCTCATTTGATCCATGAGGAAGCTGAGACTTGGAAAAGCAAAGTGACCTGCTCATAAGTGGCAGAGCCATATGAATCCCAGCCTGCTGCCTCTGTCCCTCCAGTCTGAATCCACACACGGCTCATGGACTGAAACATCAATGCTCAGTACCCTCTCTTAGCCCTAGTATGTAATTCAAGATCAAAGACAGGCCCCAAGGCAAAAACAAGGTGTGAAAAGGCTGTGGTCTGGAAGAGCCCAGGCTCAGCGCCCCTTTTTCAGCCTGAGCACTGGAGTCCCAGTTCAGCTGGCCTCACCCTTTTGCTTTGACAGAGATCCACAAGCCTGGCCAAGCTTGGGGAGTCATTGCAGAGGGACTGAGCCCAGGAGAACAGGGGCAGTAGTGTGCCTGTGGTAGGATGAGAGCACAGCTGGTAGGATCACAGGCGTCTGTTGGGAGGTACCATGGGTGTTATCCAAAGATACTGGATGGCCCAGTGGTCAAGCTGGATGGAGGTCAGAGCTGGAAGGGCCCTGCCATTGTAGGAAGGCCAGCAAGCCAGAAAGGACAAGGGGTGTGCCCACATACATAGCAAGCTACAGCGTGGCACCAGCAAAGCCCTCTCTCCACCCCACTCCACTGCCTCTCCCCAGTACCACAGGCTTGGTGGCCAGGGTCAGGGGTACAGGTGGTTCCAGTCACCAGCCAACCCTCTTGGCTTCCGTCACTTCTACCTGGCTCCTCCTCATTAGCCTGGGGTCTAGGAAGCTGGAGTCTGGAGTGCCCCCGAGTGGTTAAGAGCCTGGAATTTATCTTTCTGCCACGTTTTGGAAAAATATATTTAATTTCTTCCCCATGAGACAGGGCAGTTGCTGCTGTTCCTCTTTCTCTCCTGACAGTGCCCCAAAAGTACGTATCCCATTCCTGTATCTTGAAAAAGGACACTCGCACCTGTCCAGAGTTTTCTGTCTGTGTACAAAGTACTTCAACATTGATTGCCAAAAATCCCCATTTTGTAGATGGAAAAACTAAGTCTCAGAAGGCTTAAGAGACTTGCCAAAGGTCACACAGCTCATAAGAGAAAGAGCCAAGATTTGAACTGTTTAAATCCTCTGCTTTCTGCTGGCACCTGCTGGGTCTGGGTGGCAGGCATGCAGAAGGGATGGGCTACCTGTCTGCCCCCAAACAGAGGAAGACCCCACGGAAACCTGGGGAGCTCAGTCCTCCCAACTGAGCAGATTTTTATGAGGAGCCCTGGGAACCCAGAGGCATATCCAGATGGCAGCACCCAGAGGATGAGAATTTGCAAGAAAAGGCCTAACTTGAGCAAAACATTTTGGGGTCATGAGGCCCAGGACTGAAGACATGTTCAAGGGCAGCCCCAGGCACCTGTCTGTTGAAAGACCCATGTCCCTGGGAAGCCTGCGTACCCTTACTTTTACTTTCTGACCCTGGAGAGCCTGCCCATTGTCCAGACCTGGCGAGTTGGCACTTCCAGGGGACCTGGTGTAGCCCTGAATGGCCAAAAGCACATCTGACTCAAGTCTCTGGGCTTGTTTTTCCCCTGGGTGAGGACCAGGATCTAGAGAGACACTGTGCCGTCCTTTCTCCTTATCCCAACTCTGACCCTTGGGCACCCAAAGTGTTCCAAGTTTGAGGCATCCCACTCCCAGAGATCTGGGGGTGCTTCTTCAGAGAGGCTGGCTTTGTTCTGAGTAGGCTTTAGAAATGAATCACATGGAGCATAAAAGTAGTGCAGATCCTCTGGTCACCAAGTTCTGGTGTCCTCACTGTACAGACAGGACTCTGGCTGAGTCAGGCCTGGAGCCCTGCATATCAGATCCTCAGCTCTGCTCTGTGGCCAGAGAGGGAGGGCCTAGAGGGCTGGGTCTTGGAGCGCTCTTGGCCCCAGCACTGTGGTTGGAGCAGTCATTTAGATGTCACCATGGCATTTTCTCCTCAATTGCTGTTGAGTGAAAGTATGTGGAAGCTCTGCTTTTCCATCCTGTATTCCACATCACTATAGGATATGTGGTCCCCAGCTGCTTGCGAAGCTTGGGAATCCGAGGGGGCAGGTTGGGCAGCGGAGGGGGCAGGTGAGGAGGCTCCATACTCGTGTCCAGCCCCAGGGGAATCCAGGCCAGACCTACCTCCAAAAGCAGGATCACAGCAGAGGAGACCCAGCCAGGATAACATCTAATTCCACACCTGAGCCTCTGAGAGCTCAGCCTACTATGGGTGTGCCAGGCTGGTGGCAGGACTTGTCCTTTACCTGTCCATGTTCCCTTCTCCTAGACAACTTGTTTCTGAAATTAGGCATTACGTGGTTCTAGGGCCCGGCCTTTAAAATTCCTGACAGGCCAGTTTCAACATTCCATAACCAGCCTTGCCTGAGCCAGACTTGGGTCTCACTCCCTCACTTTCTCCAATGGGTATTTTCTATCTTGCGTGCTGTTGAGTCCAGCCCAGTGGCCAGGTGATTGGGGTTGGTTGTCACAGAGCCAGACAGGGAAACTAGAACTCTTGCTTCCCTGTGGCTGCATGCGTAGTCCCTGGGTATTCTTG